TCTGTGTACAACTTTGAAATCTGGAGTTTAACACCTATAAATAAGAAACTAGCTAAAAATGAAATGAACTAAGAACTGAATAAAAACTATTTGTTCAGTTCTTAGTGGTCTCAAAACTCCCACATGGCTGCTCTCTACAGGTGTCTTTCACTTTAAATGAAGAGCTGACTACCATCGAAGGCATCGAAGACAAAACGGTGTCTGCACCTCGTGAGCATCCGTTCACCATGCAGTCCGTGGGGGGTCAGATGCTGGCGGTCTTCACTGAGACTTCATCCGGTGAGTTTCCGATACGGAATGATTACTTGCGCTGCAATATGAGACACTCGGTTAACGCTCAGTCATTCTTAGATTTCTGTGATGTAAAACATCTTCGCTGGTGAAGGCATCCGTTCTGCTACCTGTGCATTCTTGCTCTATACGTCTTTCCCCTGCTTGTACTCCTTGCCTCCGTGTGTTGAGAACAGACCTTTTCTTGAGTGAGACGTTGTCCACATTAACGAAACTGTACATACCGGTAACGTACCGCATCCACTGGATAAGCGAACACTCAAAAGAAAACGGTCGTCATAGTCTGTATCTTGTCTGCTTTGTGTTTTGTTTTGGTGAGAGTGCCGCCGTGTATTTGTTTGATCGTGTGTCATTTATTGGTTTTTGATTCACTTTTTAAGTGTACTGAGAGTAAGAGGAGTGGCTTTATTGTCAGAACTGTTGCAGTGTCACTGAATCAGCACAAATCATCACTCGGTGTGGAGTTGATTTAATTTCTGCATGGGCTTCCGTGGTTTCAGTCTGGGCTTCAAATGCCTTTTTTTCCCCCCACTGCGAATGTTCTCAGGTTTGGTTTTATGTGCTCTTGGTGCTAATGGACTTGTGCTGCAGTTCTTTCTTTGACTGCAAACATCCGTGTCCATCTGTGTGTAATGGGCTGCACTGTGAAACACTATAGAGGCTAAACACAGTTTGAACAACATATATTTTAATACCATGTGGATCTTCTTTTTTTTTTTTTTAAACTTTACTATATATTTTTAGAGCCTATAAAACAGACATAAACTTACATCGTTTTCTAGCTCTGCATAAAGCCTTTTTTGAAATTCAGTTAATAAAATAAGCCTCTGTGCAGCCCTCTGGGTGTGTATCGGCGCTGATACACAGTGTCTGTTGCTTGCTTGCGTTAAGGTCTCTGGCTTCTGCTTGGTGGAAAAATATGCAATGAAGCTGTGTGATTTAACATTTTCGTGTGGGACTAAACCCTGGCTATGGCTCTTATTGTTTAATCCCCTCCTCCCCTCGTTCTGCATTCCCCTGTGTTTTCATGTGTACCATCCCTCCCTTCCTGTAGGCCAGTCAGAAGAAAGATCTGATGGCAGCAGCTCAGGTTCGGGGGCAGGTCCAGGTGAGTCCTCCATTTTTGCAGAAAGCGAGAGCTCTGATCAAAGGAGTGGCGATCTTTAGAAACATCTGGAAGTTGTGGCGTTGCATCATGAAGCCATATAGAGACAACATTGGAGCTTGGAATATTTTTATGGCAGTAACATTTAGGCTCTTCTGAAGCAGAACAACGTCTTTATCCTTGGGAATTGTTGGACATACACTTGTGTTAATTGGTCCGCACATTTTGATTTTGGTTGTGCTCAAAAATCAGTCCAGATGTCAAATGTGACTCATCATGAGCAGGTTACAGTTCTGTGTGATGATTGGTGAAGTTGTGGAAATCTTATAGAAAACTGTTTGGTTTGGACTTTAGTAAAAATGTCGTCATTGACTTGATGTGTGCTTTTCCTTCCAAACAGATTTTACTGAATGAAACAAGTTATAGAAAATTACAAAAACCTGATGAATATTTAGCTCTATGCTAAGAAATATTCATATCTCTTTCTTTTTAAAAAAAAAATTGCTAGAACAGAAAATAATTCAATTGTACAAAAATCCACATTAGTCATCTTTTGTTTACTTATTAAATGAATGGCAAATCTGGATTTTGCAGCTGAAGAAAAATGTAGGGCATCCTACCCTCTTATTGTTAGTCTCGCCCCCTTTGGTTGAAATATCTTCAGTGAAAAACGTATATAGCCAACTAACAGCTTTTGCCATTTACATGAGGACAGTTTACCTCACAAAGATGCTTGAGGGGTGTCTTGCAGCATCTCAATGGAACCGAGATGTGGACTTTTACCGGGTTCAGGCGCTTTCAGTTTCAAAATTGTTAACCAGTCATTGGTTGACTAATTAGTATGTTTGGATAATTTTCATCCTGCAATTCTGGTTATGTTTTTTTTTTTTTATTTTTGTTTGTTTTTTTGTTTTGTTTTGTTTTTAAATTGATTTTGTATTCTGTGAACTGGCCAGGTCCTACTGCAGCCAGACTCTTCCACCTCCACATTTCACATGACTGAACAACCAAATAATACTTTAATATCACAGCTTTCATTCATGTTACATTCACATCAGTGGAACTTAAAAATGGCTCCAGTATTGTAGTGAACAGATGACAAGGCTTACAGGCCACGGTTGCTACACAAGCTGGTGTGAGGCCATCTAGTACTTATTGCAGCTTTAGTCAGATTTTTTCCTTCAGACTGATTTTTTTATTTATTTTTTTGTGCAAGTTGCAAAAGAACCTTCTGTTCTTAGCATCTCATCTGGTGTAATCTATATCGATCTCCTGAACTTTGACTAAAACATTTTTAAACTGATTCATTCTGTTTGTTTCTATTCAGCATTTGACATAACTTTGCCATTTTTCAGATAAGATAGCCTTGGAGGGAGTGGTGGTGCAGAGAGCAGAATGCAGACCTGCTGTTAGTGAAAGCTACATGAAATTAAAGCGGTGAGTGTATTTTCTTCAGATTACACAAGGGTTAAAAAGCTAATCCGTTCAACAAACCATTGCAGTTTTCTGTGAACTTCAGGTGTGTTTGTATTGTGCACGTCATCATATCTTACAGGCTACAAATTGAAGAGTCTTCCAAACCAGCGAGGTTGTCACAGCAGTTGTTGAAACCCGTCACCACCAACTACAAACCTGTGGCCAACCACGACTACAATGTAAAAAAAAAAAAAAATCAAACTTTTTTTTTCTCATTCATTTCGTTTACCTGCATGAATTTTCAGGCCTCATGTAGAAATATGTCCACTTTTTGCAAAACATGCGAGTTTATGTCTGGTAACTGAGCTCTGCTTACTTTTGCTGCAGCGTGAATACGAGCGGAAAAAGAAAGAGGAGGGCAAGAGAGCGAGATCTGACAAACAGCAGGTGCTGGACATGTTGTTTTCTGCGTTTGAGAAGCACCAGTACTACAACATCAAAGACCTGGTGGACATCACCAAACAGCCTGTGGTGAGAACACGACAGGAAACATTGTACTATTAATCCATTAATGCTGAGGGATTCTAAAGAATCTTGTTTGTCCAGAAGATTGCTTTTATGGAAACAAACAAATGTTGCTGCAGATTTATTTTTGACTGTTTTCCATATTTGGTGGTCTTCACAGACATACCTGAAGGAAATCTTGCGTGATATTGGCATCTACAATGTTAAAGGGACACACAAGAACACCTGGGAACTCAAGCCGGAGTACAGACATTACCAAGCAGAGGAAAAAACTGATGAATAGTTTTTTTTATTTTTTTTTTTTTTTATTTGTAAACCCTTGTATTGTCACAGATGTGGTTCCTATTTCTTTATGCTAGGATTCAACATGGGAAGCAGTGAGAAGATGTTTTTTGTTTTGTTACAGTTTCTGCACACATGACCCCTCAGCTTGGCTTCCATGAGAGAACTCTAACATTTGGAAATTTATTTCTAGGCTGCTTTTGATGCCTTTTTTGTATGGAAAGTCATAGTATTTTGACTGCGAGCAATTAACTATGTAGGATGTGGCAGGTAAGTATTTTTATCCAAATGTGATTTGGATAGAACAAATCTTCTGCACTGGAGGTTTTACTGGGTTTTAAATTTGATTTATGTAATAAAGTTGTCAGAGGAACCGTTTTGATTTATTTGAGAGATAAACAGCACAACATTACAACTCTGGAAACAAGTGTTGTCAAATACAGACAGAAATAATGTGAAGACATTTTAAAATTTCTGTCACTTATTTCCAAAAGTAAAACTTGATTAAGTGCAAGCCCTCCCAAGCATAGAGTATAAACTGTGCACAATTATTTGGCAAGTGAGTATTTTACTCATGTCATATTTTCTAACTCCAAACTTGGATGCATAATGGATTTAAGCATACAGGTTATGTATACCTGTATTGAGTGAGAGTGTGCATACTTATGCAGCTTCTCTTCTTTAGGGCCAAAAAACAAGGGAAACAATTGAGAACGTGTGGGCAGTTCTTAAAAGACTTTGCTGCTGCAGCCATCAGCAAATTAAGACAAACTGTGAAGTTTGAAGACAAACTGAAGTTTGTCAGTTATGGAACATGGTCACTGATTTTTGTCAAACGTTCACTGGAAAGTTTGGACCCAGTTCTCACTTGGATACAAACGAGTTAATGTTTATGTAGTTTAACAATTCTGCACAATAATTGTGCAGATATGGAAAAGCCAAAACCTCACTTTATTTTAAGCAATTTGGATTAAGAGAGCAGTTGGTGATTAATGAAAATCAAAGGCTTGCATAATTGTGCACAATGTAGGAATGTACACATTTCAGAGGCCTGACATTATACACACTATGAAACTAGAAGACAATTTTAGGCTGTCATTTTAAGCCATCAAATTACAAGAGGCTTGAAAATGGGTCACTAAAATTAATCTTTACCCATTTCACAACTTGAACTTTATCACAATATTGAGATGTACCTGTATACACACCAGGTTCATTCAAGACATCCCTTTGAATCTTGCACTATACAGGCATCTCCAGATATTTAAATTGCTTTGCGACATTTAAGAAGCAAATGTAAAGCTTTGTTACAAAAAAACTGTTGAATTATGAAATTTGAGACATTTCTCTCAAATGAACTAAAGACCAGAATGAAAACACATTTAGGGATTTGTAATATTTTTTATTACAAAAAGCATGAAAACACAAAAATCAGTCTTCAGAATGATGGAGACGATAAAATCCAAGCGATGCAGGATGACTGTAGAAACGTCTCACCCCTTTTCCTGCAAGACAAAATCATTTTCAGTGGATGCATGAAGCAAATAGTTATCGAGCTCAGGAACATTCAACTCAATCATTTCTGTGACTGGCCACGTTTACACATTGGAAGTTGAATTAATCTAAAATGCATAGTTATTCACTGCAGTTGAATGAAATGTCTAAATGTTTAGGACTTGCGTCATACCTAGCAGGTTTAAATGTACTCCTCAATCTAATCTGGCTACTGTAGCATTTAGCAGTCAGAAAACATGAGGAAGGTTCAGTTTAGCATCGCTATGCAAACCAAGAAGCCAAAGAAACCTGCTTCAGGTCTATCAGTGGATGCAAATCAAAGTCTCATCAAATTAATTAATTTGTGCTCACCTGCCGTCACACATTGCTCACTGTTCACTGCTGCTGTTAAACGTCATGTCAACGTAACCTTAACACAAGGGAAAGAGGAAAAAGCATGAAGACCTGAAACTAGTGACATCATGAAGTATACCCATTGAGTTTATAATACAGAAAAGGTAAAGTATGTTTGTTTTCCCCTCTTCAATCTGAGGCACCATTGAAAACAGGCGCGCAGAAAGCGCAGGGACGTTTACTGTTGCATCTGAAACAATAAAACACAGGTTCTCTCACAACAGAGAGCCCGGGCTGTCAAAGATGCACATCGTAACCAGCCGATCAAAATAAAGAGTCTCAGTAATCAACAAGTATACTTACAAAAATGACTGCTGCTCTTCTGAGTTCACCCACGGCGTATTTTGCTGAATCTATGCATGATGCTTGAATAGCCTGCTTCAACATCACTTATCAGATCAATGCACTCATGCCAGAGACACAGACATCATCCAAAATCTGGGACGAAGAGGTGACCGTCCAATGAAATGCGATTAGCTGGGGGTAAAAGAAAAAAAAAAGAAAAAGAGAGCCTTTACATTATACACAAAAACAACTAGGGGTTGGATAGTGTAGTGTATGGGTGATTTAAATGGACGAGAAGTTGCTACAGCACTTGTCCAATCCCCCCCCCCCCCAAAAAAAAAAAAACTTACAAATCGCTCACTACATACTTTATATTGAGACTTGCATAGGTTTGGAGCAGATTAAATACTGTACAAGTTTATGTACTGCTGAAAAATTATTTGCCTTGAGCAGATTGGGAGGGTCAGAAAGACAATCTTTACAGTAATAACAGGAAGCTACCTCAAATCGGCACACTATTGGTTTAAAAACCCACCACTCCAAGCTAACAAACTTTCGACAAAATGAAATTAGCCAATAGATGAAATTCAGGCACAATTTCCCAGCATTTACTTAATTACCAGGACCGAACATATCTTGTTAGCTTCCTACAATGTGGAGCTAGGTGGAGCTAGCTACTTTCCACGTGGTTGCTGGTTTGTGAAATAAAAGCTCTCTATTATTGTCAAAGGACTTTCCTATTTGACCAAAAGAACTGTTCGGAAATACTTACCGAGCAACTCGACATGTGAAGTAACTAGACTGATAATCTTGTAAAACATTGTGAACTTCTGCTAGCTTCTCACAGCGACCAGCTACAGAAAAGGACGCTACGTCGCTTAGCTTCCAGCTTTTATAGGTTGCTGGTTGACGCTCGTTTCGCCCCCTTGTGGACGAAAAGAAAACGTTTATCAACACCACCGCCCCCTAGTGTTCACAGAAGGAGTTGCCTGAAATAATGTATTCTCAATCAATTCAGTTCACGAACGCTTTTTATCGACTTATTTACTTGATTATCTGATTGTTTTGATGATTTTGTGGTAGGTTAATCATATATTAGCATTTGTAATAGTGATAATATGCAACGATAAATAGCAGTCGTTAATGATAAAATAATATGTTTCAAGTGAAAACATGAAAGTCTGGTAATATAAAATATAAAAATATATATTTTTCAAATGCTTACGACATATTTAGATCACGAGGCACACATGCTCGCGCAGGAGACGCGCTCCCGTCTCCCTTGATCATTTTGTGAGAGCAAGTCACACTCTTTAATTGGACTCCGCCAGCCAGCGAAAGTAGTCTCTCTGCTGCTTCCCATGGATATAAGTGAAGGCACGCTGGCATCCAGGAAGACTTAAAGGTAACCATAGCTCTCATTGTACAAGAGGACTGTTTGTGTTTAATATCTCTGTTATGTTTTCCATCAGTGAGCGAAACTAACCTTTTTTTTAAAAAAAGACGGTAATGGTCTCAAAATACTCTACAAGAAACACAACGAGTAGAGTTCCCTGAAATAATATGCTCAAATCTAATGTGTGCCTTTTTTTTTATTTCTTTTAAAGGCGGTACAGACCAGAGAAGGACTCCAGCTATGTTCAGAGCAGTGTTCGGAAATAAGAAGGAAGGAGGAGGGAAAAAAGGAGACAAAAAGAGCCAGAAAAATGCAGGTAACAGTAAAACTACTGATACACTAAAAGTCGAAGAGAAACTTGTACAAATGCACTGCTATTTCCAAGTCTTTTTTTTTTTTCTCTCTGTTGGACCCTCATGCTGAATCTAGTATTCAGATAAGAAAACATATTTGTACATTGTTAAAGGTCTTGTTTTATTTGCTTGACAATATTCAGGTTCTCTCCTCCTGGGTGAGGCAAATGGAGCCATTTCAATTAGCCTAATTCATCAGTGTCTGTCCTTCACACGGTGTCCCGCTGATTTTATTTTAAGTGTGTCAGTCAAAGTTGGATTGGGCTAGGCAAACATCATGACCTACTAAACAAAAGCCAAAAGAATTTGTGAGTGGTTCGTACAAAGCAGATAAGGTTAACCTGCAGAGATGCTGCACACACTGAATGCTTTGTGGCGCTGCCAGTGAATTAGCAGCTCTCGCATCTTTGGCATGCTCTGGAAGCCCTATGTATTTTTCAGAGGCTGAACTTGTCAACTCGCAGCAGTACAGAGAAGATTTCAGCGTGCACGGTGAAGATATATGAACATAAGTAGAGCTCAGTATTAGAGCAACCATGTTGCTCATTAATATTTAATATTGCGCTGCTCTGGGAAGCAAAGAACAGAGAGGAGGACAGAGAACTGTGTCAGTCTCATTAAATTCATATAGTGTGTTTACAGTACGCGCTGGCATGACTCCAGTCTTTTGAAAAAAATAATAAATAATAAATAAATAAATAAAATAAACGACCACTTCATCTCGTCTTGTTTCTGGTGATCTTGTGGATTTACACTAACTTATTTATAGCATATCTTCCTAGTTTACACATCATACTCATGGCTTACTAAAGACTGGTTTGTTATGAAACTACTCGCACCATTTTAACATTTTATTTATACATTTTAATAAGGATTTAGAGTGTTGCTTGATGATATTTCAAAGTTTCAAGCCTAGGCTTAGATGCTTCAGTTGCAATCAACATTATAATGTTACTATTATGAACTGATGTATGAGCATTCCCTAAGGAGGGACATGGCCATCTTCCTGGTCGAAGGTCTGGCTAATCAACACCTTTTCCCATCTGCCCCATGCAGGTGTCGAGGTTCACATGCCCTGCATTCAGCAAAGAGGCAGCGGCCAGCGTGCCACTCATCACCACGGACATAATGGGAGCCATTTAAATCGGAAGAGATTGACTAAGGGTGTGTCCATTTCCTTACCGTCCTCTCCGCTTCTCCCTCGCCAGGGCGACATAGTTTCCTCTCAGTCCTGCGTCAAGTTCCAAGGTGGGTCGCTATTAAAGTAATCAACACAAAGCAACGTCTCGGTGACAAAGAGCTGTGCGTAAGGGACTCGCTGTAAAGGGAGCGAGATGCTTTTGCATGGCTCCGCTTTGTTAAGCAGGGAGCTTCAGTGCGTTCACTTGTTCCATACATGACAGAAAGTACAAGTGCAGGTCCTCAGGGCCCAAAAAACACGAGACAGATTGTCAGAGTTAATAATTCAGAGAAACAACTGAAGGCGATGCCCCCCAATTAGGTTGCTCAATGTCAGGGCATGTTATTGCTTTGGATCTGCACACTAAATAATCTGGGAATTGATGAGAGTACTCAAAGCAAATACAGTTTTGGCTATAGTTTGCTTAAGATCACATAGGTTTTGTGTATTGGTGGATGTAGTTTTTGATAGTTTATATATTTTAAAAAAAATCTTTTTTTTTCCACATGAGATGAAAAAGTTAATGAAAAGAGCTCTTTAAAACATATTTTCCTGGTTGTTGTAAAGTGCAGTTTAAATAAATAATCCTAATCTCTGCTGAAATGAGTTAGAATCCTGAATATAAAAGAAAGGGTGGAGCACATCTTGTGTTAAAAATAGGTCAAAGAGAGAGCCTCTTCTTGATGTAACCATCTTCTTATTTCTTAGTTTCTGCAAGCCCGTCTCCTCTCCTCTCCTCCTCTTCCCTCCCAAACTGCAAAGCAAAATCAGGAGCTGAGGGAGTGACACAGAGTGAAGAAGATGAGACAACGAGCACTTAAGAAAAGAGTCCTACTTGCACAGTTTGATCATGCCTGTCATCAGAGCAGTATTTCTAAATCCGTGCAGCTGTCTTCTGTCAGACAAATTATCAGTGTTAATTTTGCTCGAAATTGCAAATGCTGCAAAGATTTCCAGGAAGTGCACCCTTGCTTAAAGCCTCTCCGACGGTTTCCTTGCTTGCAGCTGGTTGTTAAGGAAAGCGTTAATGTTTTGAAAGTGAATTTTTTTGTGTCGATCTCTTTGTCACAAGCTGGAAGGATGAAAAGACCGTACAGTTTGCAAGCGAAGGAACTTTAAAATGAGCACATTTCTTGAGTAAGTTCAAAGACTGTTGTCTCAGGGATGCCTTACATTAGGAGAAACAGTAGGTGGCAGTATCTTTTAGCAAGTCCAGCTAGCCATTCAGAAAAAAAAAAGTCCTATTACATTTCATTGCATGAATCCTTGCCGCAGCCTAGGAAGGGAAAATTACAGCAAGTTAATGTCCGTAGCGCCCGAGCCCCCCCAAATTCTTTGGCGGTCGTGTACAATCAGATGTAACTACAGTGTGTTTACTCTGCTGAGTTTTCCCTCAGTCTGTCGACACGCACGATTCAAACGGTCACTTCCTCCCCTGAGAATACCAAATTAGCACACTCCCGTGTTTGCAAACGCCTCATCCCTGAGCGTCTCATCTCCTCTCCAGGAGAACCTGCTTCCAACAACCCTGAGATGCTGATGCATAATTTGAGACACACCCACACACATGAGAGAGCACCGATTCCCCTACCACACGCAGACACACACTCACACACACACACGCAGCCACACAGCAGAGGCATTAATATGTCATAGATAAACACCCACAATGGTGTGAATAACGTTTGCATGCGTGGCCCTCACTGTGTACGTTCTGCTGTATACTCCTGGGACACAATTCAAAATTTTGCACCGCAGATCTCATCTGGGTAGGCTTAATCTCCCTGCCTCTCTCTCTCTCTCCCTCCTTCTCTCACTCACTTTCTTTCATCCCTCCCTTTCTCCACCCTCCAATCCCTGCCTCCCATCCTGGCTTGCTCTTCCTCCCTCTCCCTCCTGCCTCTCCGCCGTGGCCAAAGGACGGGTGAGGAAGCCGGAGTATGTGGACGGCTCTTCCAGTACGAGAGAAGCTCTCATCTTTGCTTCCTGCCGTGGCAAGCCGGACCACAGAGGTGAGAACAGGAGCCCATGGGCGTGTTTTTAGCATCGTGTCTGTTTTTTTTTTTTTTTTTCCCCAGGTACTGATCAATGAAGCTGAATAAGAGTCCGAGTGGGGGCTGAGGCAGGGGAATGAATGAGGTGAAATAGAAAATAGAAAGTGTGTTTTGTCTGCGTGCTAGTTACACCCCTGAAGGCTTTAAAAATAAGTTTTTCTCAAAGATGTGTGTCTGTGCAGGGCAAAAATTGTCTTTGTGGTTTCAAGCAACGAGCTGTTTTGTCTTCTAAGTCCTCACTAAATTTGGTTTGCGCAGATTTTGCTACATCAAAGCCGACGTGGTGTAAATACACCTCCTCGAGCTTTTTTTTTTTTTTTTTTACCCTGTGTTTTTGACCAGAGGGCTACCCTTAGGCTAAACAGATTTCGTGAGGCATCTTCCCTTCCCAGTTGCCAGGCACCTCTCAGCTTCCCGTTTCCATTGGCAACTGCCAGGTGGTTTGATGAATGGTACTGGACATGCAGAAATGTCCTCATGTTACTCCAGATTGGACTATGCTAACTGAAAGGAAACTTTTCCTCCCTCTGCACCTCTTTTAAGTTTTCTGCTGCCTGTTGAGGTGTGAAATCTGCAAAAACAAAAATGGAGAAGCTTGCCTCTTGAAATCAACCTTAATTTTCTTCCAATTACAGTCTTGTGATTGGCACATTGTGTGGTATAAAAGAATATATATATATAAAACAAAAAGTAATGTGGTGTGAGATCTTCAAATGGAAAGCAGAATGAGAAAGTAGCAGTGGAGGGAGTGAGAAATGAATGTGATGTCTTAACGAAAAGATGTTTGTGAGGAGGAGTGAACTGTTCCTGTAATCCGTGATGCTCCGTCATCCTGTTATTTTTTTTGTTTTTTTGTGGGGTGGGGGGGTATGCCTACTCAGTATTCATGTGACTCAGCTGAGATCAGTACATACATGTGGTAAGATGACGTAGTAACGTAACGGTGGGCACAGAGATGTGCAAATGCAACAACTCTGCTACAGCCTTTCGTTGCTGAGTTGTTGAGCACACGCCTCGGATGGGCTGGGGTCATGGCGTGAGGGGAGGCTTAAGCAGTGATGAATGAATGCAGCACATGGCTCGTGTCGGCCCAATTTTCTCCCGGAGAAACGGTGGCAGGCAAGAGCCGGAGCTCTCCGCTGAGTTCATTGAAATTCGCCGCCCGTCTCTCGACAGAGAGCACCTGGCAGGCGTAAAACGCGGGGAGCCTCATACAACCTCCCGCCGCTGCCCCAACCGGGGGACTGGAGAGCCACTGTTTGTGGACTCATAACTGTTGCAGCTGTGGGTTGACAAGGGAGGTCCGTACTGACCTGTAGATGCATACATATCTTGCAGGTGTGGGAACCTCACATGAGCAAAACGGAGCTAAAATGGGCGGCGTCTGTCTTCTTTTGGCTGTCGTTCTCCCGTTTCGTCGTTATTAACCAAGTATTGATTTTGTGTGTCCCCATCAGACCTCCACGTGGAGCCCCACCTCGGCTCCTCCCTTTCTACCCAGGAACTGATGACCAGACTATGCTTCTTATTGGGCGAAGCAACGGGCAGCACAGCTAGCTCTCCTATGGAGGACAGGAGGGAAAAGAAGGTGAGATATGCATTGATTTACAGCCCTCTCTGAGGTCATTAAGCATAAAAAATATAGATTTTTTTGCCTTTCTCTTCTTCTTTTTTTAATAGAACCATTTTATGAAGATAATCTACACAAAAGTAGATTTAAAAAAAAAAAATTATCATCGTCCACAGAGCTCCATTTGTACTCAGCATCCGACAGGTTTTAACCCCTCTGTGAGTCTCTGTGCCTTTGCCTTGCTCAGCCTTGGCCCATTTTCTCAGCCTCATTCCACCACCTGAGCTCCAGATTCAGTCAGCTTTGCAGAGATAGCACGGTTCATGTGAGGAATGTGGGTTGTCCTGGCTAAGATAGATGAGGCTCTGGTATAAAGGGAATAACAAGGAGCTGTTTAAGCTCCGCCGCTTTGCCTCCCAACAGTTTCTGTGTTGCAGAAACGTTGCATCAGTAATGAGGAGACTGTAAATCCACTCAATTAAATGAAAGGGTAAGGGATCTTCAGCCGGGGTTAGTTTTGCTTCTTCTTCTAAAACTCTGCAGTTTAGGACCAAAATCTCCCAGGATGTGTGATAAAAGCAAGTGAGGACTTATTGATTTTTGCAACGAGGGTTTTTATCCCTGTGGCTTTGATTTTGCATACATTTGCAGATTTGTATGCTATAATAAACTTTTTATGCTCAAAATGTATTTATTTAACAGATTTATTTTCCGTTTTGGTAGTGTCCTGTACTTAAATTATGTCGGCTTAGCATCGTAAATTATAATATTGCCTCGTTGCAGCTATAAAAACTATTCACTATCAGATTTGTCTACTTTCCTTTAGGTCTGAGTGAAGCAGCAGCATGTTAGAACTTTGATTTGGGAGTAAATTGCGCATTTCTATAGTAACTAAATTAGTTTTCATCATGAAAACAGTGAAAAATGATATATTTTGATTCCTATCTGACTGCTTCTTTAAATGTCCTCCTTCCCATGCACTAGCATGAAGGCAAGTGCTGTCACATGGATGAGATTCTTGTTAAAAAAGGATGATGGGTTATGGAATTAATTCACCATCATTTTGAAACAGAAGAAACCCACTTAACCTGTGAATGTTTGCTTCCTTAACTGTCCCGGGGAGTTTCCTGCAGACATGTGTTCATGTCTGCAGGAAGTCCAGAGTCTGATCATTACAACAGAAGTTAACGTCTACAGATTCTCACTGCTTCTTCTCCGTCTTATTTGGTCTCTGGAGGGATTATGGAACACATTTTACTTTTGCCTCAAAAATTATGATGCAAACAACATTCTTGTAGCTTTAAACATGACCAAATCAGACGTGTTTACATCACATTTTTACATTTTAAACGAAAAAGTATTTGCCTCGTTCTGCAAATATTTTGTCTTGAAAACATGTAACAAGTTCTCATTTAAAAAAAATACACCTTTACAAACAAAGTGTAAAACTAAGTGCACCCATATAAAACTGGGTATCTGGTTACATTTACTCAGTTACATTTACATAAGCAACTTTTTTTGAGAAAAAAGAAAAAAAAATTAGGAATAATTTTACTATGCTGTACTTTTTACTTTTACTTCAGTAATTTTACTATGAAGTATTGCTACTCTTAGTTGAGTAAAGTTTGTGGATTCTCTACCCACTGAATGAAAAACAAACAGGTTTAACCAAAAACTCACCAGAAACACACCTGCAGTTCATCAGTTTTATATTGAAAGAAACTGATTTGGAAAAAAAATTAAAAAATCTTTTGCCTGATTTTGTTATTTCTATAAATTATTGTCATCTTGGTCCTTAATATACCAAAATTTTCATTCAGTTTTATATTTTAGTCCATCTAATGATGTAATTTCTAAATATATTTTAAATTTGATGAGTTATTCAGTACTTGAGTAGACTTTTTACCAAATACTTTTTTACTCTTACTTGAGTAATTTTTTTGGATGGCTACATTTCACTTTTACTTGAGTAAAAATATGTTCAAGTATCAGAACCAGTAGCCAGTAGAAGAAGCCCCTTTATTTTCCTTTACTTGAAGTAGTCATTTCCTTCACCTTTCTCTATGTTATTAATTTTCATCTGTCTTATATACAAAATGTTGCTGAAATTGCTTCTCTTCTTTCTTCTGTTTGTTTTAGGGTGACACCTCTGCCCAAGGGGGGAGTCCCAGCTCCACTCTTACCTGCAGCACCACTTCCCCTTGTACAGAGAGCCCCACATCCACCCTGAGCACCAGTGCTGGAGGCCAGTCCCTTCCCCAGCCTTTACCCTTATCCTCTCCTCACCGTGGCTCCAGCAGCAGCCCCTGTGGGACGCTCTGCAGCCCTGCACACAGTCCTACCCCCTGTTCTACTTCTGGACTCATCTCTGTGAGCAGTCCTGGGCCTCCAACTCAGAGCCCCACCTCAACCTTGGAGAGCAAGGATAGTGGAATTATAGGTGAATATAATACAATGTCTTTAAATTGTATTTTTTCCACATTCAGATGTTTTTTAATTTTCTTCAGCAGCTGCAGGAGTGTCAGTAAACGAGAAAACACAGTCAGCTGTAAAAAAACAGAAACAAAAAAAAATAATAACCATACACATACATGATCTATTTTTATTGATCTATTTAATGCATGGTGGAGCTATTTTACATTTAAAGAAAAAAAAAATTTAAAATTGTTTGAACATAAATATGTTTTAAATCTTCAAACATACACCCTAACCTCACATGTGGTTTTTCTGAGCCGCTTGTGCCACCTCGGCCTTAAGGCTTCAGCTCCCTGCTGTCAAAACTGGGACACTGCTGTCTTTGTTGCGTATGGGTCTGATTCTCTCAAAATAGGACACTTTTTTTCTCCTTAAATAGAGTTTGTATTTATAGTTGATTACAAAAGACACATCAAGTGCAACGAAGCCCCGCTGATCAAAGAGGTCATGTCTCCTGTTTTTCTCTGTTGATTAGGTAAAATGCGTGTTGTATTTTACATCTTTGAAAAAAAAAAAGAAGTTTACAACCGTACTCGAGCTGTTCTCAGAATGTCTCAACCAGATTTTCCTTCCCCATTTCAGCAACCATCACAAGCTCCTCTGAGAATGAGGAGCGCAGCACTTCCAGCGACGTTCTGACAAAGGAGGAGGCCCCGGGGGGCAGCGGCGGTGTCATGGGCCGCGCGGGCGATGACCGCCATCCCGGTCAAACCAGAGACAATCTGACAGCTCCACAACCTGACGCCTTACCCAGGAGTGAGATCATGGAGCCCAGGACTCCGCCAGCACCGAAAAGACCCCTCCCGCAGCACCACATTCAGGGCCTCTCCTCGCTCGCGATGCCCCGTCCAAATTCAGTGGCAGGTACAGCTTGACAGAGACGTGCTGTGTGCTTGAGGAGTTTTGAAAATGGCACATGTAGCTAGAGCTCTGCAGTCAGATCCACCTTTATGCACAATACAAAGCGCATAAACTTCCATGAATTCCTCTGAATCACGTTGGAAGTTTCTAATCAAGCAGCCGAGACTCCAGGAAATCTGAGAATAGTCCTGATCTTAACGCTTCTTTATGCCACGTTGTGCCCGTTTTCGCACCTTCATAAACTTTAAACAAATGAGACACAATTAATGAGAAAGAGTTGCCTAAGCTCCCATTATGCTGCACATGAAGTCGGCTAATGAGCGCATAAACGTAACAGCTGTGACCTGGGTGATTAATTAAAGGAGGAATTAATCTGGTGTGAATGGCAAATTGATTGAATTGATTGTTGATTCGCCACTTTCTAAATACAGTAGAGGCGTAATCTGCGAGATCTCTGCGATGCAGAGCACCTTGTACTGGTGCTCTACTTGCCACCGAGGCCGGGTACGCTCAGTGAGCAGCACCAGTTAAAAGTCCTGGGAGGCCTCCAGTTGTCATAAAAGTAACGCCGCCCCTCCCCTTCTCTCCTCAGTCACAATCTTTTGCTGGTGCGCTCGGCTCTTTTTCTTCCCTTAGATGTCAGTTCATTTGTGGTGGAAGCAAAAAGGAGAGATTCCCTACGGAGCGGATTCACAGTAATGCCTGCCAGTTTTTTGTTGTTTTTTTTTTTTTTCTGTCAGCTGGTGCTTTCATTTAGACACTCTTGATGAATTTCGGAATAAAGATTTACCAAGCCGCACGTACAGCGGCTGCAACGATCCCCTTTCGAATTCATTAGGAATTCAAATGCACGAAGCGAAATGCGCATTATGATTAACGATGCAAGATCACATGCGATTCTGACTTCTTACTGGATGAAAAATGTTGCTGTAGCAGAACTGTAATTGTGTGAAGCAGTTTGAATACACAAAATGCTGCCTCAAACACACATTAAAACTAGTGCATGTTTCAGCGACCATGATGAGGTCTAATTTTACTGTAGGTTGAAAGGCTAGAAAGCCATGTGTTGTGGTCATTGTGTTCATAATTTGAAATTATAGTTCCAGCCTGGTGGGCCTTACATTAGATAGAGCTCATCACCCCAAAGACTTTTTTTTTTTATGAATGTGTGTTTTACATTGTTTAAAATGCAAAACATTACATAAACATTAAATGTATAGGCCCAAGTCAAATGAATTGTAATAATATTTTGGGATTTTTTTGAGTTAAAACAATACATAAGTATTTGAAAACAAATAAGTTGTAGCCATTTTGGGGGGAACAACATGTAGCTATTGCTCAGGGGAAGTATTGAACCTGTCATGTATCAACTGATGCATTGAAATTTGCATTAGCAGGACAATTTCTTCTGTTGTGGATAAGGCACCAAAACTGGCTCAAGCTCAGGTGCCACATTCTTGTAAATCTCGTCCTGGTTGCAGTAACATTTCCACAGACATGTTCTTGATTTAAATCAACATGCATGTTTTATCATACTTTATAGATAGCGGTGAACTTTATGGGAGATGTTGGCAGAGAGAGAGCATGAAGCAAAGTCAGGGCCTGGAGGTGTGCGAGAGGTTCTTGCATATTTTGACTGTATCTGAATTCGATTCAGAATCTTGAATTTGATTTGGATTCTCTAAAACTGGCACATCAATTTGGCCCATTTGTCTTGTAAATTTACATAAAGTGACAGTTGCTGTTGTGTAAATGAGATAAACTGAATGGTTGTCTGTGTCGTTTTTCTGCAAAACAAGTGTGTAATATTATTCCTCAGCCTCCTTCAGTTTTTGTTTGGTTTGTTCTGAATGAGAAGCCCCTGGTAATGTATTTGCTCCTTTGCAGCTAGCACTGCTGTGGGAGCAGGCATTTTTACAAGGTACACATTGTTACTGTTGAAGTGAAACAACTTATTTGGCTGACACATTTCATTTCAGTTAAGTTTATTCGCCAGCTTTACAAACTGAGCAGTTTATGGGGGTTTGACTTAATGAACGCTTATATTTCAAAACTGCTGCTTCTATTGAATGGATGGAGATGGAAGATTAACAAAAGCAGCCCACTGGTATCCCAGAGCCTGTAGTAAATCTTGTTTTAATGTCGCCTTGCCTAAATCCTGTCCGAAAGCTGGTGTCGTAATCTTCTTGTAGTAAGGTCGTGTAATGAAATAATGTAATGAAAATCATTGCTTCTGTTGTCTTTCAACAAATGTAACAGCTATGACAGAAATGAAAAGTGGGAATGACATTTTAATTGGTTAGCCCTAACTGCACTTTTTAGTTTTAATTAGATTTTTTTTTTAGATTGTATTATTTTGTTTGCTTCCAGTCTCTTTGCTGACCTTATTAAGTTGTAGCTGTTCCTAATACTGCCTTTGAGATACCTTGGAAATCAGAACTCAGATCTGTGAATGGCATCTTACCAAACGTCAGTGAGAGAAAGTCAATGGGCTTTTGCTGCTGTTGATCACAGTGATGCTGCTGAATGTTTTCAGCTACCTGGTGCTTTCCGGCACTGTAGGCATTGTAACCATGCAGGAACATGTGTTTTAAACAGATGTTGCTCCGTACTGCGGCTGTGACTAATTTGCTATAGTTAGATACAACCGAGACAAGTGCAGATAAGTGTGCAGGCTTTGTGTTGGGGTTTGAAGTTGAGGTTAGTAAGAAACCTCTGACTGTCTAAGCAGGAAATCCGACTTCACAGGGTGGTTTCTGTTGGGTTTTCTTGAACTGACTTAATTGTGGTTTTTGAGCATCTGCTTTGTCGTCTCAAACCCCAGTTGGTGATTGAACATAGCCGGTCGCACTGGGCAGGTTCAGTCGTACGTTTTAGCTGGTAAACGGGAGTTTTCCTTGTCACTGTCACCACATGCATGTCCGGTATGAGAGTTAACGACTCGATCCTTTGTACTGTCCACTATCCCCTAATGCTTGTTGAGGAGGAAATTTTGCTGTAAAGTCAGAGATTTAATGAGATTGAAATGCTTTTGATTGTATTGCTTTGATAATATGTTTATTGCAGTTCTAATAATGTTAACTATTCAGTATATTGTTTTTTAACAGAATTGAATATGTAAACATCAGTGACATTTAGCACTAGATATTCAAGTAACTATTCTTATTTTGCACAATATTTTAAAATTTTGGAGTTCTGCTCCTTGAATGACAGCTGTGTACCAAGCAATATTTAGGAATTTAATTAGTCAGGCTATCTGCTCCAACATGCTGTCTGCACTGAGCTGGCTAGGGGTGCACCGGTTGCGGTTTTTTGGTTGATCACCAATTACCAATCCTTAAAAAACCTGATTTTGTCTGATACCATGATTTTTTTGTCTTAAACGTCACTAAATATAGCAAGGAAGTTGCTGAGTTGGCAACAGTGGGGTGACTATTGTTAACTGCAAACATGAAGACATGACCTGGTGGACCGTTCTAGTTTTTATTTTTTATTTTTTTCAGTTTATTTACTCAGTTTAATAAATTCCATGATGAGCTTACAACATACTGTTTTACCAGATAATACAGATCTGGATCGGCTTTACATGCAACTATCGGTCAATCACTGATCTCTCAAAATTAAGGAAACCAGCACCAATAAACCGGTTAGCTGATAAATTAGTGACAGCACTTTCAAAATGGCATTACCTTAATAACAGTACTGGATCTTCTTTATTTTTCACACCATGTCTGTCTTTTGCATCTTATTAGAAGGACTGCAAATGTGGGCATGCTAATGACAGAAAAACATGTGCGATTTTGAAACCATAACTTGTCAGAAATTTCTGAATATAATCTTTGTGACAAAAAACAGTTTTAAAGTAAACCCCATTTTCTGAATTCCTCTGAAGTAGAAACATTTAGCCCGAGTGATTGTTCCACCTGCGACATGTCTCTAGACGATGTTAACCTCTCAGAGACGCCGGGGGCTTGTCCGGGGCTGAACAGTTAACCTTTAAAGTGTTGAAGGATCAACAAGTGTTCTGGGGCAATCAGCTAAACAGTCATCAGCAGCAAGGATGAAGGTGGGCAGTGAGTGTGGGATAGGTTGGACAGCGAACGGGTGGAAGGATGAGTTGTTCTGGTGTCTCTGTGTCAAACTGGCTGAAAACATGTTTTTACTCATTCACTGTATCGTTGGTTCTCTCAGACATTTGGCCTGGCTGTCTTTAGCCAGTAATCTCTCTCTCTCTCTCTCTGTCTCTCTCTCTCTCTCTTTCATCCCACTCCACACCTCCTTCACACTGTTTTTTCTGCAGACTGTGCTCCGTCCTCTCACTGTGGATGTTCTTTCAAGCTGCAATTCTCCACTCTTGTTTGTAATTTCATGCATGTGCCATATCCTAAAAGACTTCTCCAGCCTGGTGGAAGAAATGTGCGTGTGTGTGTGTGTGTTTTTATATTATTTTACTTTTCTGCTGCATATTCCTTGCACCACACCGATTGAGTTGTATTATTACAGTTTCATGATAGTGATTCAAACCGATTTGTTTCGCATAAGGGAGGCCCACGTTGTCCACAGAACAGGTTTTATGCTCTCTTAACAGCCCAGTAAATTATAATATTCACAGGCCTTCAATCACAGTCTCTCACAGTAACACTCTGCTGCTTCTGGAGGATGATGGACACATAGGGCTAGCAGATGTATCAGAAGAACACAGTCTTAGAAGTGTGGGTTGAAGGATGTACAGTAATTTAATACATTTCTGTGTCTCTATCTCGCTGTTTGAAATAAATGAGAAATGAAAAAACTACTTGTATCGCTAAAGAGCAGCCACATAAAGTTTTTAAAAAAATGTAAGACTACCACTGCACTGTAAGATTACTGAACTATAGGACATAAGTTTGGCACATTTTGTATCGCCTGTTTTTTGATCTTTTATAGTCCAAAAGGATTCTCCCTTTTTTTTATCCATCTCACTCTGAACAGTTTAGAGACAACAGTGTTATCAGATTTATAGATTTTACACCATTTCTCTTCTGCATATATGTATCAGTGCAACCAGCTGCCTTTAGAAGCAATCTAATTACTCTAAGTAGAATCCTCCTGAGTGTAAATCCATGTGTTTGTGAAGGCATCAGATGTTTGTTTATGGAGGACAAACAGCAAAATGAACACACCAGATAAAGCAGAGGTGAAGTTGTAATTTAGGTTTAGGTTATAAAAAAATATTCCTGGCCTAGCATTTTGTCAGCAGTTTCTGTGGCAGAAAATTCACACCACACGACTCCTTCAACGTCCTAACCACACTGAGGCATGGAGGTGGCTGCATCATACTGTGGGACATGCTTTTTCTCTTTTCTTTTTACAGCAGGGAAAGGGAAGCTGGTTGCTTAAATGAGTTTATTGGGACAGAGTGGGTCAATCCTAGAAGAAAACTATGTGAGCTAAAAAATAAATTGTGAACTTGTTCACTGAGCTTGAGCTATTTTAAAAATAAAAGTTTGGATGTGCTAAGCTGGTAGAGACACACACACCAAAGCACAATCTGAATGCCATGTACCATTTCCCTTCCCTGTGTCATTGTACTTCCTAAAATCTTAATAAACACATTGTGAAACACAAAGTTAATACACCAATTCACACAAAAAACTTAAATAATTAGAAACTTTAGAAGCTAAAAACTTAAAGATGAGCAAAAATAATAAACTAAAACAACTTCCATCCCAGTAAGCAGAAACAGTTCTACTTGCAGTGGATGTAATCCATTTAGCTGGTTCTCTGCCATGCTTGGATTCATAAACCGCTTGGATTAAACTCAGAGAGGAACTACAAACAGATTAAACTAGAATAGAGGTTCTTCACTGTTTTTTTCCCCCCTGCAAGCTTAACAGTCAGAAAAGCAGCTAAACCATAAAATGAACTGATTTTTACAGCATGTAAATGTTTTTCATATGGTGATAATCACACAGTAACAAAAAAGTATTATAGCTTATTATAAAAAGCTATTTCTGTGTCTCTCCAGAGAGAGCATCACTTTCTAGTTCCCTCTCCTCTGTATTCTTGAGAAACTGAATCTAATGAACTTTGAAAATGTCAAAAATTTTCTTACCTTGGATGTATTTGTACCTGCTTGTAGGGTAAGGGTCCTCAGTTGCTCAGCAACCTCAGAGCTATTTTTTATTTTTTTTGGTAACTTGTGAACCGTACAGTGGGAATTATCAGGTGGCTTTAGGTTAAACCTCCCGGGACCAGCAGCCCAACATGTGAAACTCCTCACCTGCAGAGCAAACAATGAACCATGATTAATCCCTTCAGTTTAAAACTGAAGCAGCATCATGCTTTCGTTAATTTGAACTTTTTTAGTTTTGCTAATAGCTTTTTTGTATCGTATGGTCTTAATGATTTGCATTTGCATTTTAAACATTGTAAGATATTTGCTATGTTTCTTTTTTTCAACCAAGCTAGGCATTACGAAATAAATTAGACTGTAAATGCTAGAGCCTGCTCTATTTGTTCATCCTTGACAACCCTACCTTAATAAATGAATTAATAAAGTAAACTAAAAACTGGACTGAAATCATCCGTAATAAGAGTGGTAAATCCACACTCAGCCCCTTAATGGAAATATTGCTGGAAGGTCCACAGTTAGGAGTGATTAGACAGTTAGTGGTTGTACATTACACTTTGGCACACAGAAAGTAATAACAACAGACACTTTCCAATGTGCATCATCAAGTCTTCTGTCATCAGAGCTTTAATATACAGTTGACTTGTTCTTTCTTCCTTTTTGGTTCAGTTTTGCTGTTGGATGTTTTGAAAAATTCGCAAATTATTATTATTATTTATTTTTTATTTTTTTGCAAAAGACTAAAAGGTGCACGACACATTTAATTCTTACTGTTTCCTGCAACATGGAGTGAAGACTCAGCTAAAAATCATTATAACTGCAGAAAGTGAGCTATGATAAACTCTGTGGCGTGAGTGGGTTTATAGTTGGAATGTGGGTGTTTAGACATCTCCTTTTATTTGTTTTTGAGAACTTCAATGGGATGTTTCTCATTTCCCAAGTTGGTTTCTGGTTGGCCAACACATTCTTACATTACAATCAGATGTATTCCTCCTGATGCCTTTGTCAAAATCCCTTTTGACAAAGGTACAAAAGGCATTTTATACATTTGTCAGATTCAGGCTACTGAGTGTGAGATATGTTCATTCCTGCTTTCTCCGTCTTGTCTCCTCAAGGTCACTGAGCTTGTATCTTTATCTGTTTATGCCTCACATCTCCATGGATACAGTAATTGACTTGCATATCTGCAGTATGCAGGTGGTTTCTTTTTTAATGCACATTTCCTGCATGTTTCTCACACACTGAATTATTTCCAACCCATTCTCTCTGCACAGCAACAAGCTCCACTCGACTGGAGGATCTGAGTTATCTGGACAACCAAAGGGCTTCGGGGCACCGGGGCTCCGTCCGAAAGCACAACACAGCTGGGCGCACAAGTGATGACTCCAAAGGTACTTTCTGGTTTCACTTCGGGGTATTTTTTTCATTCAGTGGGTTGCAGAAGCACCGACAGATCTGTAAATCCCTCTCCCCAATCTCTTAAGAATGCATAAAGTTATCCACTCTCAAACTGCAAACTCTGTCCTCTCATTGTGTGCAGGGAGACTGGTGCCATTCAAGCAAACAGACATAATGCTAAAACCGCTGCTGTTCGAAGTCCCAGGGGTCACTGCAGAAACGCCTTTCGTCGGCCGGGACTGGCTATTTGCACGGCTGGAGGAGGTCTTGAGGAAAACGAGCACCTGCGAGGGCCGCGGCGCAGTCATAGTGGGGAACGCCGGATCGGGCAAGACCGCCATCATCTGGCGGCTTGTGACGCTCAGCTGCCACGGAATGCGAACGCCGCAGGGAGCCGCCAGTGACCCCCACAGCCCCAAATCCTCCCCTAAATGTAAGATTGGTTTAAGATTAGTTGAACCTGAATTCGTTATCCTCCAGTGAAGTCAAATTCTTTTGAGTTATTGGGGGAAAAAAAGTTTTTGACAAGTAGTTAGCAACTAGGTCACACAATCTTTGTTCAAGTTCTCCCCTGAGGTTTGTCTACTGATTGCAGTTTTGTAAGAAGAGGGAGATTGTTGTTTTTTTTCTCTTCTTCCTCCCTTGAGTGGCACAGAAACTGTTCTTTTGTCTGAACAATGCGAAGACAGCCCTCTCATGCGAGTGGTTTGTGCACATAAGTGCACAGTGCACGCTGCGACATGCCAAAAATTTATCTCGAAGAAATGTTGACGAAAATGCAGGAAGGGATAAAATTTGAATTTTATTTTCTTGATGTTTTCTTGATTTCTTATTTGCAGACCTGAGTATTGTCATATTTATAGGATAAAAGCGAACTAGCATGGAAAATGCCGGGTTGCATTTATGTTTTAGCACTGTTGCATTATTTAGTGATATCTCTACTGTATAATGTCATTTCATTTTAACTTGACTAAGGATACATCAAGGCAGGAGAGCAGCTCTGAGTCGATGATTAAAGGTTCTTTTTTTTTCTTGGTTTTGCTGTTTCCAATCTAGCTTCCAGGAGAAGTAAATACTTTTCAGCATAGAGATGTTCTAATTATGCATTTATTTTACTGATTTTCTTCATGGTAGCTGTGCATGTCTTGTTTGTGCTCTGCTGCAGCTGGAGACAAGCAGGGAAAAGCAGCCTCCAACCAGAGCTCTGCTGCAGGAACAAGTGATAATGCAGGACAGAGGAAGGAGGCTGTGAGATGCCTGGCTGCCAAGGTAATGGGAAAATTCATATGCATTTACATTTTCTTTTTGGCTACCAACTGGTTGGTTTAAAAAGAAAGATGGAAAAAAAAAAAAAAAAATATATATATATATATATATATATATATATATATATATATATATATATATATTTTTAAAAAAAAAGAGAAAAAAAAAAAAAAAAAAAA